CAAATTTTATATTTAATTAAGATTTGATATGACATGACATTTTAATTCTGAATTTCATTTGTAATATGAAATTCTGAATTTTACATTAAATAAAACTTGTATTTAATTTTAACCATTTTGTTTTTCATTCAATAAACATTTTATATAATATGCCATAAACCAGACCAGTTAAGATTTTTGTAGATGAATTCAAAGTTTGGTCTTAGTCTGGCTATAGCACTGATCCAGCTGGAACTTCAGAAACAAGCCTTTTCCTCCAAATCCAATTAACAAATCCTGTAACATTTAACATTTCAATTAAATCTAAAAATTAGTATGATTATCTCAAAATATATATTCTTATGTATTTGTATAATTTCAAATCTCAAGTTTGAATTCGTAATTCAGTAAAAGCTACATTTCTAAATGCCAAGAGAAAAAACTACTTTCTTGCATACTTTTATATTAAGTTGCTTTAAAACACTTCTATCTATTATTGATGTGATAAATATGATCTATTTATTTTAAATTTATTATAATTTGTAAAATTAAAGTGGTGAGCATTATTGAAATATTTTTCTATATTAGAATATATCTTGGTAAAAATAAACTGAAAAGTTAATTTTTTATTAAAAAAGCTTTTCTTTATTTTAAGTTTACTAGAACATATATTTTAGAGTAGTTTAAAGTTAAATCTTTAGTTAAAAATCTCTTAAATAATAAAATATTAAAATACTATCTTAAAAATTGTTTTAAAGATAACACTGTTGTTAATGTATCCTACAAACAAAAAATAAAAAGAAATACAAGCAAACAAAAGAAATAATAATTTTCCTACTTAAAGTATTTAGGTATGTTATATTTGAAAAAATCTTAATGTATGAAGTACATATTAGTAAAAATGTTTTATACAAAAATGCAAGGATTTCTATATTAGTGGCCATATTAAAATAAAAATTACTTATGAAACTTTCATTTCCTTCTGTAATTAACAGTCCATATCTGTGATACTATTTTCTCACACAAAAGACCTTAGTAGACTTTTCACTAGTAAATGTAGTTATAGAATATTGAAAGATTCAAGTGGAATTTAATGTTACTTTCTTAGCTTCATTGCCATACTTTCACTATACTAAAAGTGTCTTGTCCATAAACTTAATATTTAGGGCAAAATTTTATTAAAATACATATAACTTTCATATAACTATATTTTTATTTCTGTCTAATATTTGATTCTTTCCAGAAAAGACCATTTTTCTGTTCTAGTTGTCTAAGTTTTTTTTATAAACAACCATTGAACACTTATATGGGCCCAAGGGTAGAATGAGCCCTGTTTGCTATGTTTTAGTTGAACAAATGAAATACTAGACTGTTTCTTTATTAATAAAACACACTTTTAAAGAATTTAGTTTTTGTTAATAAAAATAACATTAATTTATAGGGATAGTACTACTGTGGCCTGCCATGGTTTCTGTGGATTCCAAGCTGAAAAATCTCATCTCCTCCTTTTCAACATCCCTGAATATAAACCGTCAAGAATTCCTTGTTTATTAATAGTACAGTAAAATCTTGAAAGAATAATCTTCAGAAGAATGGTATACAGTACTTTAAATATTTTTTAGAATCCACAGATTGAAGAAACAAAATTCTTAGTCATTATTTTATTACAATATCATTAAAATCACTTGGATAAAAATGAAAGAATTAATTTAAAAAATTNATCTAATAAATAAATAAATAAATATTTTATATTACAATGTTTAAAATAATGAATTATAATAATAAGAAGAATTAAATAAAGAACAGGGTATAAATTGCATTATTATCTTTTCTGAAGTTAAATAAAATGTCCAATAATTAGACTTATCTGTTCATAAAGAATGTATTTTATGTTTCAAGTGGTTCCCGCGATAATTAAAAATTAAAATCAAATAAGTAATAAACAAAACTGTAATTCAAAACTTGCTTAGGAAAGTGTAAAATTATCTGCTTTGAAGTTTCGTGCTAATGCGTTACGATCAATGCAACAATATTATTGATTTTTTTCTTTAAAGATCGATTAGTAGTTGTGCAATACAACTACTTTGATCAAATAACTACCAATGAGTAAAAATATTGCCTGGAGAAAATTTCGATCGAAATGAAAATCTAAAAAGAAAAGGCGTTTCGCCATATTTGGCCTAGGTTTAACATATTAAAAAATAAATAAAAGCTTAATTAATTACGTAGGCGGTAAAATCTAGAACGAAAATATAATAAAATACATTAAAAAACTAAATATTTTATAACGTAGCGTGCTTTTCAACGTTCTCGTATCATTTCGAAGGTCGTTCGGAGTTAAATAAATGTTAAAAAAATAAGTAAAACTTATCTGTTCAAATACGTTTACGATTTTATTTTAACATATCGATAACTGCAAATTCTTCAAATAAACAAAGAAAGTTTAACAGATGTTATTCGAATTGTCTGCTTATACTAGCAGATGGCATCGAGTTGACCTCTTAGCCGATCTGGTTACTAAAGAGAAAGCCTGTAGCTTAGCGATAATTATGTTAACACTTTTAGAGATATTTTTTAGCAAACAATTCGCGTAAACACTTCTTTATTTAAAAGCCTCAATTACGCAATTACACTATATAAAAATTACAATAAGCATGTGTTTATAATCCAATATTTATATGCGTTATTCGCTGTTGTACGTAGGATCGTAAAACGTAGGAAAACGTAAAATAAAAAAATTGGAGTTGAACGAAATTACATAATTGCCGATAGCGATGTAAATAATGTGCAACTGCTCACCCACCTACTTCTGAACAACCTACTGAGCTTGTGAAGGAAGAAAACTTGTTTTTGTGCGGAAGGCTGAGAGGAACGCATTCTCATAATGTAAATAAGCTTCAACTTATCAGAAAAAAATATATATTATATATACGAATACGAAGTACTTAAGCTAAATTTCCGACATTAAGAGCGTCAAGTTTAGTGTTTACGAAAATTCAGACTTTAAAAAAAAAAATAATAAGAAGAAATAAAAAAATAATAATCTACGGTAGTAAAAACTAATAAAATTTGTCTAATAATAAATAGTACGCCATTTACAAAAATAATTTTAAAAAAATTAATTTTGTGTATTACGAAAATTTGATTAATAGTTTAGTCATATTCGAATATTGTATAGCACGCGCTTTAACAGAAGAAAGACGTCTATTGGTTAGATTTCTCTGTATTTCTTACACAAATTGTAATAACTGTTTTAATTGGTCGATTCCACCTATCGCCATTTTGTGGGTGATATCGTCTGTAAGCGAAACGCGAGTCGAACGGTTTATTAAACGTCTTTACTTTACGGTAGACGTTTATAATATGGCTTATCAAGGTCCCGCTTACGGATTAAGTCGAGAATGCCAATTAAAGGTAAGTTTTACTGATAAAACAGCGGATAAATTAAGTTTGTCTAGAAATCTTGCAGGTGGTTGCCGAGTTTGCGACAAACATCGTTTGGGCGTCACCTTTTCACATGGCGATTCCGTTTCTCAAGAATAGCGAATTAAATGCAAAGTAATATTATTTAAAAGTGCTCTCGACATATTTAACGTGCGGAATTTTCTAGAAAGTGAAACTCTCCGTTTTCCTTTTTTTCCGGAATTTTCTAGAATGTGAGACTCCGTTTAGCCGTGATCCATTTAATAATTTCCTAGATGTGTTCTCTTGAATGATTGTGAAAGAGTTGAAAATTAATCGAATGATTTCCTTTTCTTTACTAAAAGCAATTGTTTTTAATGAGGTTACTTGGTTATTTAATATTTCATTGATTATTCTGTTTTTTTTCCCCACATTTTGTATTGTATAAGACACTAGTTTTTTGATACTTTAAATATGTGTATTCTGCAATATCATGTCAGTTTTTAAAATATATAATTTTTTGTTTATGCAATTTTTGGTTTCAAAATATATTTTTTCATTTTGTTATAATTGATTTCGAAAATTTTTAAGTATTTCTAACTAAATTTTATATCAGTTTTTGTTATTTTTATAGTATCAGGTAAAGATGTTATAATTTCACACATCATCAAATCAGTTAAGTGATTTGGTAACACTTTATTCACTTCAAAACAAGCAAGTGTTGGAACAGTTATATGAATTTTTAATTTTAAAAAATGTGAAATTAATAAATAATAATAGTTTTATAATCTTTTAAATACTATATTCTGTTAGTTCCAAAATAACTGATAAGCTATGAAGCTTTGTTGGATGTTAAATTATGACCAGTGAAAAAATCTTGTTGGAAGATCATCTTGCAGTTCTAATCTTTTTATTTTGCTTTTTTTTAGTCTAGTAAAAATCTTTAATGCAAATTTTTCCATGTAGAAAAAGTTATTTACAGTTTTAGACAAAAAAATCTACTGATTTGTGGATATGTTTTGGAAGAATATAAAACAATTGAAGCAAAGACAATTGAATAAAGATTTAAATAAACTTTTAATTATATTTCAGATTCTTATTTTTCGTAGTACTTGAAGTTAAACTTGTGTTATTTAATACCAATAACATTACTAATAATTAATCTTATAATGACTCAAAGTTTCTAGTCTTTTTAATAGAATGTATAAATTTTTAAAGTATTTTTTTTTTTATTAAATTTTCAATAAAAATATTGCTAATATAATATAATAGTAAATTACTAACATATACTGTAATATAATTTGTTATATTAATGAAGATGTTTGATATTTGTGTGTGTACATTTTTTAAAATTACATAGCTATAAAAATTATAGTTTATAAATTTTGTTAGTCTATATGCATAAAAATGTTGTGTGGAAAAATTTCAGTTGTGTATATGCTGTTTGAAGAATTAGAAAATAAACTATTTAATATTAAAGATTACCAGCTGAACTTCTGCAGAGTTTTTATAGTTTTAGTGGTGCCCAAACTATGGCCCTAGGCTAAATCTGGCCCACAAACATATATAATATATCACTTACAAATGATAGAAATAGATCTTTCATATATATGGAATATAAGAAATGTTTGAAGTCCACTAGTTGAAAAGTTTATACACCATTGGTTCAGACTTTTTTTTACCATTACTGTTTCCACCTTGTAGGTAACTGATTGGTAAAGGACAGGGCGTACCATATCCTGGACAGATTATCTATTAAAATTCCTGGGTCAAATCCATATGAATTCCAAGTCATCAGAGCAGCAGACTGATGCTTTTACTGCCTTGGCCATTCAGCCAATTATAGTTGATCAGTCCTGGCCTACAACGTCCTAAATATATGGCCCCAGAGTTTGGGTGATTTTATATTGGGTAATAACAATTTTATTTTTCTGTTTTCTATCTTGTGGTAATATGCAATCCTAATTAAGCTGATTAGCCATTGATGATGAACATTCAAACTAAACTTAACTAGTGAAAAGATGTTGATAAATTATATTACTAGTTTGCATATCATTAGCTTATATTATTTTAGTGTAATGGCAGTTTGGTACTTGGCACACGTAAAGCCAGACGCCTATGAAGTTTCTTTGTGGCCTTCATTCAGAAAAGGTTATTCATTATTGGTTGAGATTAATAGTTTTCAAAATATAGTAGCATTTATTAAAGTCAGATTTCAGAAATGCTGGAAAAATGTATTCAGTATCTTTTTAATAATTAAATATATAATGAAATAAAAATATTTCAAATTCTTCTCAGGCAGAAACTTTTTTACTACTAGTTAAATACTTAAATGCACAAACATAACAAAGAATGAATATAAGATGAATAATTCTGTGAAAAAACTGAGCATTTTTTTCCTCTTTTTAATTAAATTATAAATATATTTTTATTAAACTTGCATGTTTATAAGTATAGAAATATCGTATCTAGTTTTGAGTTTTGGAATACTAAAAATATAAAAAAGATTAAAACAATAATGTAACTTATATAAAAACTTTAAAAAAAATCATAATATTATCTATGTAATCAAACTTTAATTTTTTTTAATGTAAATTGAAATAAAATGTTTATCTTGTTTAAATATCTATATCTATATAAAAATGGACATGTATGNATAAGGGTGCGGGAGATATGAGGCTGAAAGTGGTTGAAAGTGGCTTTCTATTTCGAATGTTTTGTTCGATTTTTTCGAATTTGTTCGAATTAAATTCGAACATAAAATTCGAATTGGTTCGATTATAGAACGATTGAAAACGTTCCAGAAACGTTGAAATTTGTTCGTTTGACTAAACGTAAAAATTCTCTAATTAGTCTGGAAACGGGGGACCTAATTCTTGCATTTTGTGAAAACGGGTAAGATTAGCTATAATGTAATTATCTTAATCTTCACTATCGTTACTTTTTGCCCAGCGAAGCGGGTCCTTGCAGCTTGATTCTAGATTACTTAGAAAAACAGTCTTTTATATATATAAAAAAAACTATACTATTACATACAAATAAAAACGCAGCAAAGCGGGATCTTGCAGCTAGTTTAATTATAAAATTACTATCAATATTATATGCACACCTATCAAAATTAGCAAGTCTTAATAAATTGAATAATTTTTATAGAGCTAATCTTTTTGGATAAATATAATTTATTTGTATGATGTAATATTTGATACTGAAATAAATAAAGCTTGATTATTGAAACTAAAATCAAATTTAATTTTTTGATTTATGTTAGTATCACTTAAGTATTGTGTGTTCATTCAACCAATATATTTAATTGTATTTTACAGAGCTTGTCAATCTGTCTTGATCAAATTTTATATTTAATTAAGATTTGATATGACATGACATTTTAATTCTGAATTTCATTTGTAATATGAAATTCTGAATTTTACATTAAATAAAACTTGTATTTAATTTTAACCATTTTGTTTTTCATTCAATAAACATTTTATATAATATGCCATAAACCAGACCAGTTAAGATTTTTGTAGATGAATTCAAAGTTTGGTCTTAGTCTGGCTATAGCACTGATCCAGCTGGAACTTCAGAAACAAGCCTTTTCCTCCAAATCCAATTAACAAATCCTGTAACATTTAACATTTCAATTAAATCTAAAAATTAGTATGATTATCTCAAAATATATATTCTTATGTATTTGTATAATTTCAAATCTCAAGTTTGAATTCGTAATTCAGTAAAAGCTACATTTCTAAATGCCAAGAGAAAAAACTACTTTCTTGCATACTTTTATATTAAGTTGCTTTAAAACACTTCTATCTATTATTGATGTGATAAATATGATCTATTTATTTTAAATTTATTATAATTTGTAAAATTAAAGTGGTGAGCATTATTGAAATATTTTTCTATATTAGAATATATCTTGGTAAAAATAAACTGAAAAGTTAATTTTTTATTAAAAAAGCTTTTCTTTATTTTAAGTTTACTAGAACATATATTTTAGAGTAGTTTAAAGTTAAATCTTTAGTTAAAAATCTCTTAAATAATAAAATATTAAAATACTATCTTAAAAATTGTTTTAAAGATAACACTGTTGTTAATGTATCCTACAAACAAAAAATAAAAAGAAATACAAGCAAACAAAAGAAATAATAATTTTCCTACTTAAAGTATTTAGGTATGTTATATTTGAAAAAATCTTAATGTATGAAGTACATATTAGTAAAAATGTTTTATACAAAAATGCAAGGATTTCTATATTAGTGGCCATATTAAAATAAAAATTACTTATGAAACTTTCATTTCCTTCTGTAATTAACAGTCCATATCTGTGATACTATTTTCTCACACAAAAGACCTTAGTAGACTTTTCACTAGTAAATGTAGTTATAGAATATTGAAAGATTCAAGTGGAATTTAATGTTACTTTCTTAGCTTCATTGCCATACTTTCACTATACTAAGTGTCTTGTCCATAAACTTAATATTTAGGGCAAAATTTTATTAAAATACATATAACTTTCATATAACTATATTTTTATTTCTGTCTAATATTTGATTCTTTCCAGAAAAGACCATTTTTCTGTTCTAGTTGTCTAAGTTTTTTTTATAAACAACCATTGAACACTTATATGGGCCCAAGGGTAGAATGAGCCCTGTTTGCTATGTTTTAGTTGAACAAATGAAATACTAGACTGTTTCTTTATTAATAAAACACACTTTTAAAGAATTTAGTTTTTGTTAATAAAAATAACATTAATTTATAGGGATAGTACTACTGTGGCCTGCCATGGTTTCTGTGGATTCCAAGCTGAAAAATCTCATCTCCTCCTTTTCAACATCCCTGAATATAAACCGTCAAGAATTCCTTGTTTATTAATAGTACAGTAAAATCTTGAAAGAATAATCTTCAGAAGAATGGTATACAGTACTTTAAATATTTTTTAGAATCCACAGATTGAAGAAACAAAATTCTTAGTCATTATTTTATTACAATATCATTAAAATCACTTGGATAAAAATGAAAGAATTAATTTTAAAAATTTTTCAAATTTTAGGAAATGAATAACATACCAAAGTATCTTTTTAAATAGAAGAACCAAAAATATAGTTTTTAAAAACTAAAAAAAGATACTGAATAACTGATTTTGTTTCATTAAATACTTTTTTAATCTAAAAAAATTTTGAAAATATATTGTTTTTATAATGTATCAACTAGAGATGTATTGAGTAATTGTTTGCTGATTGTTAGTTGTACTAATAATCATCACTTGACAATTAATTGGAATATTTACTGAGATTATTGGAGTAAATAATCATTCCATCAGAAAAGCATTACTACTACTTAAATTTAAAATTACTAAATTAATATTTCACAAATGATTGTTTAAAGAAACAATGGCTTTATTAATAATAATTCAGAATAATCATGGTGACATATTTTTTTTTCTGTTAGAAATTGCTGGCTTTTTGTATTTTAAACCTGAACTTTTAAGTAATGATATGTTATGGTACTAATAAATTTATATATATATATTTAGAAATAAGCTTCAGTTTCATTCGCGGTCAATTATTACATCTGATTAATTTTCAGTACTACCTGCCTAGTTTTGAAAGGAAACTTTTTTGTTCTTGAACAAGTAGTTTTTATTTTATACAATTATTTCACATTTATTTGATTAACTACATTGTATTTGAATGTCTGATGTGTGGAAGTAATTGTGACATAAGTCAATTGATTAATGATGGAAAAATGCAATGACCAGAAATATTAATTGTCTTGCTGATTTGCTCAGAATGGCATCAGTATAGAACTGCAAAGAAAAATCTTATAACTATCATACATAATCCATATTCCATGTAAAAAGATAAAACATTATCTTAAATCAAAGTCAAGAAACTTAAGAGAGGATAGAACAATGTTGGGGTCACTGATTTTGATCAAACTCATCAAACTCCATGAGGTTGTTTTAAGTAACATTGAACTAACAGAGGATCTTATTGTTTTATTACTGTTTATTGTGCATTTGTAGTTTTCTAATAATAAATCAGTCTTTCTCTGACAATATAAATTTAATAAATTTTTAAAAATACCAAGAATAAATTTAAAATTATTATTTTGAATGAAAATAAAAAACAAAAAGAACACATTGATAACACTGAGATACCAAACACGTGGGGTGCGCCAGTTTCATGATTATGAAACTGGCGCACCCCACCAAGTCACCAGCCCTCTACAAATGACAGAAATTCTAAAAGTTTTAAGTGATTTGCAATTTTCAACCTCAATTTTCTCCTTTAATTTTGAGTATTTTTCCTTACTTCTTGGTGATTTGTTGTTGGGGTATGTATTATGACCTCACCAAGTATGATCAAAATCAATGATCCCTATTTCTTGCTGTCCCTTTGTTAGACAAATAGCATTGAGGAGGCCACTAAGGCACACCTCTTGAGGAGTGCCTTAGTGGCCTCCTCAATCAGTTGTTTCGATCATCCGGTTGCATCCACGAGTAGCGTCAACATTATGTTGAATAAATGATCTTGGGACAGACGATGGAATCCACCAGTAGTCAGGAATATATTTTACAGAATATATACAAAAGTTACAATCACGTTGACCACAAACAATGGTTGGAGCACGTGATGAGGTAAATGACCGGACAGTAGCACATTAACCCAAAAAGCGAGTTAGTCTCAGTCTGATGTCATGTAGGTTGGGGAAAGTGGTCAAGTGCTGTGTTGCCAACCACTGCAGCATAATGAAAATTTATCATGGTAAAGTAATTAGTAAATTTATCACAGTACATTATTTGGATGACATAGTCCAATATTTGGTTTGACTACTTTGTTGGACACCAGACAAGACATGTTACAGTGAGCAGTTCATTTCAAAATTGAATAGTTAGTAACTATAGC